CTCGCGGCTAATCTAATGCCCGAGTCACATCTCGGCCCGATCCAATGCCTGAGCTATGCCTTGCGGCCAATCTAATGCCTGAGTCACATCTCGGCCTGATCCAATGCCCGAGCCATGCCTCGCAGCCAATCTAATGCCCAAGTCACATTTCGGCCTGATCCAATGCATGAGCCATGCCTCGCGGCCAATCTAATGCCCGAGTCACATCTCAGCCTAATCCAATGCCTGAGCCATGCCTCGTGGCCAATCTAATGCCTGTGTCACATCTCGGCTCGATCCAATGCCTGAGTCATGCCTCGCAGCCAATCAAATGCCCGAGTCACATCTCGGCCCGATCCAATGCCCGAGCCACGCCTCGCAGCCAATCCAACGCCCGAGTCACATCTCGGCCAAATCCAGCGTTTCAGCCACACACATCGACCATCCAACGCCTGAGCCACGCCCTAGTCACATCTCGGCAACCGTAACTCCGGGCCATGCCAAACTCGTTCTCCGACCTACGACATGTCGGTTTCGCCTCGACAAGCCCCTATTGTTTGATCGGCAGAGTCAATCCTGCCCGAGTCAATCCAACCTCGCCGTGTAGGTCTCGCCTCGCTAGTTTTGACGCTTTTATTTCGCCTCGACAAGCCCCTACCATTCGATCGGCAGAGTCAATCCTACCCAATACATGGGGCACCGCCCCTCTAAAACGCCCCCCGACGAGCCAATCCAGCCTCATTGCGCAGGTCTCGCCTCGTCGGTTTCGCCTCGACAAGCCTCTACCGTTCGACCAGCAGGGTCAGTCCTGCCCGGATCACTAGGCACCGCCCCCCTAAATTACCCTCGACAAATCAATTCTTTCCTCCCATGAAAAGCTTAACGTTGTCATATCCCTTAAACCTAGGCATGTCTCTCGGACCATCAACGATCCGTCGACATATTTTGGCCCTATGTGAACCACCGACAAACGTTGCAGACCGACGCAACACCGTACGCCTCCAGAACCGCGGGGTGCATGCCACGTCAAGCTCCAACGGTGCGACTGTGCGGCCTGACCACCCCAAGAACTAGGGGCGGTGCCGTCTGATGCCGCTCAAGCACCCCTGAAGACGCCACCTCGTCAGAGAGGTTGTTCCGCCCCTAGAGTCAACAGTCATACCGGACCAGGGCCCGACCAATTCCCACACACAGGTATAAATACCCCTGACCTGATCCAGAAAAAAGGAGGGGGGAGAAAAATCAATCGATCACTCCACTGACTTGCTTATCGGAGGGCCGCGTCGGGTGATCCCGACAAGGGCAATTTTTGCAGGAAAACACGACCATCTCACAAAGATGAGCTATCAACCATCCCGGAGAAGGAGAGGCACAGCACGACATACATAGCACCCAGATCAGCACACCAAGAAATGCTGATCTGCACCTCGTCGTGAGAGCCCAGTCGACCTCGGCATCCAGCTCAGTCGGCAGAAGACTCCCGACATTAACCCGTGGATCAGGCCATGCTGTCTCATCAGCCACGACATCTTTCTTCACTAACTAACAGACATGAATTTTATGATCCGATTAGAAATTATATTATATACGATGAAAAACACTAATAATTTCATAACTCCTTTGTAATTCTATGTTTACCTTACTGATAGATGCATGGGGTGAGGACCAAATGATCAAGCCACATGCACAGATAAAAGTGACTCTGTCACAATGAGCTTTCCCATTTCTCCTCCTCCCAACCCTCTCCCTTGGCGTCGTGTCATCTCCTGAGGCTGGCATTCTCAAACCCTCATTTCTCCTCAACTCCCTGTCACAATGAGCTCATGCTCGATAACAAGGAGGTCGATGATGCTCGTAAGGCTTGATTTTTGTTAGAAAACGGCGCATCTCATCTACATGTCATATTGTTAATCTTGCATTAGGGTTTTTCTTTCTTTCTTTCTTTTTTTTTCGATTCATGAATAAAAAGGCATGACCAAGGAGGGCTCTGGTTTCTAGCCTTTGTGCAAGAAACTTATCATTTTCGAGCCTTTTTTTTTTTTAGAATTTCTTATGTCTAATCTTTTTCTTGAAATAGCCTGAATGATTGAAAAACCTATTAAGATTGATAATATTATTATGATAGGCACCATGAAAAATTTACTAGGCGTGTATCTTTATAAATTTTTTTAAAATATTTATCATAATATTTTTGGATTAGATATGGATCTCATAATTTTTTTCAAACAATGACGTATAAAAATATTTCAAACATATACTTCAATCATGAAATGGTGAGCCATATGTTAGAATATTACATCTCTCACGAGCTTGAAGCTAAACTTAAAAATGCTTGGAGAAGCTTCGTCACATTCAAGTCTCTCTATGAGCCTTTGATCAAGGTTCAACGATGGATGATTACTAATTCCAAGGCACAGACAAACAAAGAGCTCTAAATGATGAATTTCTCCTTCCTTTCCTTCTCTTCACACATTGCCATTGGAAACTTTGAAGAGCTGGTTACTCGAGTGGTCAAGTCCTTTCGATCTACAGAGGCAATGGAGATAGGCAATGGCTCCTTCCTACTTGAAAAAGATGATCCAAAGTAAGCTAGAGAAGCTAAGAGAGATGGCCCCAAAGCTCATCGCAAGGCATACAGGAAAGTCCTAATCCTCTTTTTTTTTTTTTTTTGCTATGAGACACAAAAATAAGAAAAAGATTAAAAAAAAGAATAATAAGAAGAAGGCTTTAGTGTCTTCCCCTTCTAACAACACTATGGACACTAGTCCCTCTAATTCTTCTTCCCCTCCTCATATATATTCTTAATATTAATCCTCTCATGAAATTGCAAGGGGGCCTAAAAAAAGAAAAAGAAAAGTCATTTTAGGATGATGATAAAAACCACAATCTTTCCTTGATTGTCCTTTTGGAAATGCATCTTAATAGAGACATAAATTATAATTTCATTATATGTCTGATTTTGGGTTAGTGCTTTCTACGATGCTATCGATATATCTAATGGTATTCTAATTATATAAAGGAATGATCAATTAATGACAGTAGAAATCTACAATAGTTAACAAGCCCTCTACTTCATAGTCGAGGACAGTAAACCTCCTTGGCTTTTTACTATTTATGCTGGTACAAATGCTTATATTTATCGCCCTCTTTAGAGATTGTTAACTAGTGTTAGTTTGGATTCTGTTCCTTAGATGGTTTATGGTGACATGAATTCTATTACTACTCCAAATAGAAAATTAGATAATATGTCTGTTCTTTTGAATAGATAAGTTCAAGATTTTTATAATTTTCATTTTTGTTCTAGGTTGATTGACTTGGGATTTCATGGTAATTGCTTTACTTGGTGTTATAAGCAGTTTGGTCCTTCTCATGTTTCTACTTGGCTTGATAGAATCCTTACAAATGATGCTTGATGTTCTTGTTTTTCGAATGTTATGATCCAGTATTTACCTAAGATTACCTTTGACCATGCCCCTCTTCTGATCAATCTTAACATTAACCCCGAAGATCCCCGGAGATTCCATCTCTTTTGTTATGAAACTTTTTGCTAATGTCGTTAGAAACTTTATGAATAACTCTCTTGATCTCATCAGGCCTATGTATCTTCATTTTATTCTTTTCAATATAGGAAAACACATGACCAATTGGAGTATACATAGTATTGAGTCCCTTAAGGATGATATTAGGGACACTATTAGGAATATAATTGTCCTTAAAAATAAAGATAACCTTACTCATCTCTTGGACAAGAACTCTCTACTCTTTAGAGGCAATCGCATTTGAAGCAATAAACTAGGGTTAAACTAGTGGTTGAATGTGATAGACAAAAATACTAAATTTTTTCATAGATTGGTTAACCTCAAGAGAAAGATAAATACTATCTATGCTATCTAGAATAACTCTTAGCCCCCTAGCATGGATGTTAATGACATCCTCTTGGAATTTGTGACTTAGTACCATAGAATGTTGAATGATCGTTTGAACAATCCCCTCCTTTACCCCCTTGTGAATCTTCCTAAACTCCATAGCAACTCTCATTCTAATCTTCTTAAAGAGTTTAACCTTTAGAAAATTAACCTAGCTCTCTTGGCTCGAATGGATTTACTGTTATTTTTAAAAAAAATTCTAGGAGGACATTAACCTCTTCATTCTTGCTACTTTCAATAATTTTCATAAGTTCAGCTATTATTCCTAAAAGTTGGGGTCAAACTTAAAATTTCTAACTTTAGACCTATTACCCTGTGTACTGTTATTTACAAGCTTCTAACCAAAGTCATATCCCTTAAATCTTCCTAAACTCTATTATAGATCAAAACCAATCTCTTTTGTATGAGGTTGAGATATTCATGATAACGTTACTATTCTTAATGAGTTAGTGTACACTATATTTAGGTCTAGAGGGAGAAATCTTCTCATCCTTATTAAAACCGATATTGAGAAAACTTATGATCGAGTCTCTAGAGATGTTATCATTAATATTATGGGTCATATGAAGTTCCCTATGGTGTTCATTGAGTGGATTAAAGCTTGCATCTTTTTTACTAACTTTGCTTATTGCATCTATAGGTCCACTATACCTTTTTCGGTACTACTAGAGGAATCAGGCCAGGGATCCTATATCCCCCTATCTTTTCATCATCGTTTAAATTTTTTTTTCTTTAATCTTAGATGATATGACTAGATCTTTTTAGATTTTGCCTTTTAATTTTAAAGGGATTAAGATCTCTCATCCAATGTTTACTAGATGATGTGGTCATTGTCATTAGGGGTAGTGATAAGTTCTACGAGAATCTCCTCAAGACTTTTGATCAATACTCTAAATTTACCAATCTGAATATCAGTAGATCCATGTCTGACATATACTTTCCTAAGCACTATCACCCTTTCAGTAAGCATAGAATCTGTAGCCTTTTTAATACAAAAGAAGAAAGCTGGCTAATGAAATAATTAGGAACTTTTATCTCTCACAGTAAGCTGCCTAAGAGATATCAAACTATCCTTGTGGACAATGTTCTGAATAGGATCCAAGGGTAACAACAGAACAACATTGTAAATCAAGTTGGAAAGTCTATTCTTATTAATGTTGTAATCAACTCCATCCCTTTTCATAACTTAATGATTTCTTATATTTTTGACAAAATCATTTGGAAGATTAATAGAGTCTTTAGGAAAATTTTTGAGCCGAAGTGAGTCTAACAAGGGTTCCAATCTTATTAGTTGACAATCTATCACTAAACCCAAATTTGAAAGGGGGCTGGGGATCAGAAATCTCCAATTGGTAAAGAAAACTATTGTTGCTAAAAGGTTGCTACCTCTTCTAAATAGAGAGAATATTTTATGGGATAGCATTCTTAAAGTCAAATATAGATCATTTTCTCTTTGGTTTCCTTTAAAAAAATACCTTTGTATCTTGATTTTAGAAAGCATTCTCAACTGTTTGAAATCCTTACCGATTGATTTTTGGGTTATCTATCAACATGTGTAAAGATCTTTGACTCAATGTCATACCACTTGTTGTGTAACATTTGAAGTTTTCAAGTGAGTTTAAAACTATTTCTGATCCAATTTCAGGTAACTAGTGGAATGATAATTTTTTTTTTTTTCAAATTTTTTATCCTATAAGGTAGTTGCTCTCCATATGTCCCTAACCCTAAAGATGATGTACAATACTGATCCCGTCATCCGAGAGGGACCTTGACGACTCAAAGTACGTTGGAAGGCAATTTGAAAAGTCAAAGTCAATATTTTTTTTATGAAAATTAACTTAGGAGAAGCTTACTGGTTTTCCAGATTCTTTAGCTCAGTTATACTTAATTCTGTTGTTCACTTTCTTTCTTTTTTTAATATTCTTTTGTTCTTGAAGATACTGGACGGGGTACAGTCTCCAACTTGTTTTTGAATCCATTTTTGAGCATGTGGAAGGGCTCGAGGGAGTGCTGGCTTGTTATCATCATCAATTTTTTATAGACTTTGTAGAATGAACGAAATAATTATCGTTTTCGTAATCGTAAAGACCAAGGGTGATCTCTCTGGTTTAGTAAGATGCTGGTTCTAGCTAGTGAGAATGTGATTCTAATAAACTAGCCTGAGGAGTGTGGGGATCACAGAATGCAGCAAAAGCTGCTACGTTTCCCATCTAGTTATGCTTTGTCTAGCATCTAGTTTTATGCCTTGATGTTATTTTCGGTTTGGCTTTCATCCTCAAGGATGGACAGGGCAATCTAGTGGCTCCAGGCTGCTCCACAAGAAAACTAAGCTTGGTCCTTTCTTTCTGAAAGTGAAGTTATTTTTGGAAGCCTTTCATTTTGCTGTGCGACAGACAAGGCTTCAAAAACATATGGATAAGATAAGATGCCTCAAATGTTGTGAATCCTCCTGACCTTGGCGTTTGAAGAACATCCTTAGTGATTGCCTCTTATCATTTGATAAAAGTGTCGATCGTATAGTGAATGTAACTGGAAAGTTCATTCTCTAGTTGTTTTTGCAAGATATGAGGGTTTAATTCATACATGGTTTTTTGTTGACTTACCCAAATTACAAAGACCTTTACGAGTGAGTATTGTGTGCCTCTTGCACAGATGGCAAATAAATCTGTCATTATAAAAGTTATAACTGCTAAACATATAATGCTACCACTTGTAATTGGAATCTATAACATGCACCCCCAACTAGGAACCTACGACATTCATGATCATGTTGATGAGCGAACCCACCAGCATTTGATTGAATCGGCTTCAATATCTGGGAAGTAGTAGGTGATGATGAGCAGGCAACTTCAGTATCCAACCGTACAGTCCGTATGAATCGCATAATAAAGATGTGATAACCGAGTGCCTGTCGCAGCAAAATCATCCGACTCGCTTCTGATAACAACACACTTTAAAGATCCATTTTCGGAGAAACACAAGGAGGAACTGTTGTGGCAGTATAAAGTATTCAAAACTTACATTACGGAAATGACTTGTGGTGGAAGAAATTTGATCAGCTTTATTTTTACTTCCCACAGTGATACTGATACAGACAAAAAATTAAAACAAGTTTACATATCTAAAATGAAAACCAATTCTGACTGCTAAGCCATCTGCTGCCGGTATTGGCCATGGCCAACTCTCTCTACATGGTTTCAACTGCATTCCTTTCCTCCAATGTATATGAAATGAACTGCTTCTAGGAAGGGATATCCTGCAAGTCCTATTCCACCCCTGGGTGTCATTCAGCACACAAAAAGATACTTGATCGCCTACAAATCATTCCCAAGCCGTCGGCAAACTTGACCAGCTTTTCGAAAATGTAATCTAGCATGCAAGTGAATGCATGAATGAAAAAGATGTCATTAAAAGGCCGATGAAAATTCCTTCCTCGAAAGGCCACTTTATCATTTCAACTCTTTGCACTTGCAGATAGAAGCCTCATCCAAAAATTGCCAGAGATAAAGTGTGTTACTATCTGCTAACAAGCCACCCTGATTTGAAGATGACATCTTGCTTGAAATTACGGCCACGAGCTGACGTAGACTCCCCCAGCCGGCGATAACACTGAATCAACAAAAGAACAGTGTGTAAATGTTGAGAACAGGGGGAACTTATTTCTCTCATCGTGTCAAAGTACGTGCTTTAGCTAACAAGATGTGTGCTGAGATAATGCTCCATGGCAAATTCAGTAGTCAGCACTGGCACATCATATGTATGCTTCCCAGTTGGACATGTAGAAACATTGTGTCCATCGATTAAACATGACAACAGATCAACATTTTTGAAGGACAACACTGAAGCAGCTAGTTTTACATTCATACATTTTATCTTTGTATCTGTTCAAACAGATGACTTGCAACATTAAAATGTTAGCCATCACATAGGAAAAATGATACGTAGAATGCATTTTAGTCAATTTGATGCACCCTGATATGTAAAAGTTCATTCATTATATGCATATAATTGCTTGACCAGTATCTATTGCTAATATTATCTCATCGGCCTGTTTATCTTGCAGATTTTTGGACCTTACATACCTTGTAACAGACAACCGAATCATCTGGATACATTGCAAAGAGCTTGGTGCCAAGGCGTGAGCGGCAAGAATCACAGATGCTCTCATCATTTATCTGAACATGCCTTGATCTCTCCTCGAATCTTGCCATCCGTGCATCTAGATTTATTGCACGTGAGAGATTATGAACAATCTAATCAAGCAAGAAGATAAGAGTTATGACTTCCCTGACCAGCTAGCAAGCATAAGACAGTTATAAAATGGAATTTAACTAACAAAAATGGGCAAGGTAGATGTGAGTACTATTTGTGGAGACCTTGTGGGAACTAGTCTCTTATTATCCCACAAGTAGATTACAAAAAGGATTGCAAGCTTAGTGCTGGATCCCTTCCCTACTGATTAACTGTCAGACAGCTATATACTGCTCCTTCAGGCAGTACAGAGCTGCTACTAACCAGGAAAAGAAAAGAAACAAATTGATGCAAATAAAAACTCCCACCAACATCAATGATAGCCAAAGTAGGTTTGGACCTTATCTTTATGACCATGATTGAAAATAATGCAAAGAACCTTCCTAATTGTTCTTTTCATCTTTTTACCACTTCACCGAAAAATTTTAAAAACTTGCAGACTGGCTAGAATCTACGATTGCTTTTTGGCCACCAACAGCAACCTTGTGATTTTGCAAAGTAAATAAAGGTTAGTCTGGTCATTGGTGGGAAGACCACAAATATATAACTTACTGAATATGCATTATTCTTAAGAATATACAAAATCTTATCAGGTAACATGTTTTCTATTTAATTTGGTTTGACAAAGAAAGTTTTGCTTTTGAACTGAGATAAATAATTATTATCTAAGAGCACAACAACAACATGATACGGATTCTTGTTTATCTTTATGAAGGCAAATTATGTTAATAGTATATTAAGCAAGTTAAGGTGGTAGACTAGGTCAAAAAGAAAGCAAGTGTACACATTCAACAACAGATATATGAAAACCAGGTCACATGGTCCCAACAAAAATTGATAGACATGAAGAAAGATACAATGTTAAATTAGGTGTACGAAAAGATGTCAACAATGAAAACATGTTCCCAGCACATAAAATACCATCACTTTAGTAAACTAAAACAAGTGACAGAAGAATATACATAACAAATGAAGGATTTTGATAGGCTTAGTAATACACAAAGCTAATGCCGGTCCCAAGAACGGATTAAAAAGATGAAGAGTTGCCTTAGGCCATTGACATCCAGTGGAAAACTATGTCAAATCATGAATATGGATAGGCTTAATAATAAGAATTTCTAATTTCCCAAAATACCTAAAAAGGAATGTCGTAATTGGTATATCCTGGAGACAGCTTATCATAAGGGGATGCATGCATGTATATCACAAACAAAGGGATGGATAAACATCTCTTTTTCAAGCATAATAACAAAAAAGAGCTTTCAGTTGCAAGATTTTCATCACTCACAAGTTTTCTTGGCATAGTATTCCTTTTAAAAGGAATGACTCAAATAAAAAAGTAAATGGCTATCAAGATGCAAAAAAACCTATAGAACCTAACACACAAAGACTGACTAGAAAGGTCTAACCGACGCATGAAGCTCACAGCTGGATATATGAATGTCAGCTATACCCATGATACACAATTTATATTGTACAGACCTCAGTGACCATGACTCAGTCCACTTATATCATTTTTATAGTCTGATATTGTGATATCATCAAACTTTGATCGGTTGATTGCTGATAATATAGCTATCCTAACTGAAAATGTCTGTCTACAGAGGCTCATTGCATCAAGCAGATACTGGCATATATTCTGGTTATAGTGCTAAACGGAACTAACTTTTTTGTACTACCACTAGTTAGTCATATCTACCTGCCCTTGGCAATGATGATGCTCTCGAGCTCTTAGCATTCTCAATATTGTATCTGATGCGAGCTGCAGAGGCATCTCAGGTGACAGTTTCTGCAACACCAATGCAAAATACCATAGTCAATTGTTATAAGTTACAAACTAAAACAGAACCCATGAGTATGTGATAACAAATAACTTCTGCAAATGTTGCATGACATCATAACATTAGGTTGCAGACATTGCTAAATCAAGTAACCTCCAAAGATCAGAGAGCAAAGAATAAGGAGATATATGGTGACATCCATTTAGCAGCTTAGATATTATCAACTCATCTTGACAAACTCTTAATATCTTCAAAATGTAGGCAGAACTTTAGAGTTTTGCTGACACCAACAGTATCTACATTCCAAGGCAGACAATAGCAAGGATTAAAAAAAACGTGAAATTTTTCTTGCCCTGTTTGACTGAGGCAACATTTGCAAAGTAGGGGGCCTTGACTAAAATTTTAAATTTAAGGTGTTCAATTCCTTCATGTAGAAGAAAACCTTGACTTTGGAATATGGCAACAGTTATGTGGGCCCATTTTACATCAGATAGGCATCCCAAACATAAAAAATGAGATAAATATCAAAAACAGAAATACAAAAAAGAAGATAAAAGGTGAAAATTCATAGAAGAACATATGGAATGATGATATAAAGATTAAACATAATGATGCATGAATACAAATGGTAGCAAAATAAGGACTAGAAAATATGTGCACACATCAATTTCTATCAATAATAAATTGGGAAATAACACTGCTCACAACTAATAACTTTAGAATCTTAGTATCACATCAATAACGGATCATGCAACATACTACCCTCGCTAATGTCACAGAAAGATCATTGATAAAAGTACTATAGCAGTATACCTATTGCATTCGAACAATAATAACCACAAAGAGTCATAATGAAGAGTGTCTTTCCTGTGATTGCACTCCACTAAGTGCATCATGTCCAACAACATATAAATCCGAAGATCCATAACAAAATAGTTTGGACCTCACATATATTAGATGAAAGAGCATTCAATTAAGCAGATAAAAAATGAATCCTATACTCAGGTAAAAGATATTCCTTAATTATTAAAATTGTAGAACAAGTTACAGAATTTAATAATAATTACTTGAAAAGATGAAAAGATGACTAACATCATACTTAGCCAACCACTCAACAATGTGTTAAAAATTGGAGGAAGAATCCTTTGGACACCACTTTTTTCTCTCTTCTTTTCAAGCATGTGGACATGTCGTTGCTGGCCAATGAAGTCTAATGCTGAGTAATGATGGTGCATAAAACAGATTTGATCTGGAGTCAATCAAGCCAAGGCTTCTATAAGATCAGGTCTAGAAACTTCTTGTGTCTTGGATGCATGATTTCAGCCTTTGGACAATATAGGTAACAGTAGCCTGTTCTTGAAAGGATGTGGAATGAATTCTTGCTTCAAATAAATGTCATACAAGTCATACAAGTACTATGATTTGTAGACCAACAAGTCTCCTTTAAGATGGAAAAGCATTGAACCCAATCAGCTAAAGAATCACGGAAACTTTTTTCACTTCTAAACTCACCGTCCATAAGGATTGTTCGTCCAGACTCTCTATGAAGTTCATACTCCATACGACTGGTTCTATGGCAGTTTTTTGGGGTTCAGCAGTTGGTTTTTGACCCCTAAATTACAAAGGGCAACAGAAGAACTGACTTCTTGACTCATTTTTATTCCTAGTTAGGTTACGAGAGTTGGAGCACCAATAACTCGGCATATGCCATCTTGTAATCATCCAAGATTATGATTTGACTATTACCAATAACTCGGCATAACCAAGGTTTTATCAGCCATGCTGGTCGGTCGGCCAACGGTATAGCATGTACCACTCTGTACCAACATACCAACACACGATATGCTAGGGCATGCCGATGGGGACTCGGGTGATCCGCGTCTCGGTCACCCATCAACCGTCAGACCAGTATGTACCGATTCAGGCAGTACAGCAAACCTAGGACAGCAATCAGATCGATCCATTTCAACCCTTTGCAAGGATTGTTTGGCTACAAAAATACAAATTGAGGATCAAATAGCTTCTAAAGCTTGGGATCAATTGGAGCATGTTTTAGCCATCAAATCAACACTTTTGGATCTGCTTAGTGGCAATTCAAAAGAGAAGCAAAAAGAAACTTTGTGAAACATATGACTGCTTATTTAAGTCCAGAAGCATGACTTATTTGAAGTCCAGAAAATTGATTTCTTAGGAATTGATTAATTTCATCAATTTCTCATCGTGAAAGATGTTCAAGTCATGAAGCTTGATGTAGCAGCATTAGATTTTGACAAAGGCACCATCACCTCTCCACTGCATGCCAAGCAGGAAATAATGACGAAGATCAAGAAAAGTATAGGATGGATTTAGGAGTAAAATTTTGATACAGAATGGATCGGCTTAATTTGTCAGAGTTAATCAATCCAAGGCTACAAAAGTTGGGATCTGAGAGGAAGGCTGGTATATTGAGATGTGTGTTTTCAGCCAGTGGACGAAATGGATGGCGGCAGTTCTGTCATGGAAAGGTAGAGGATAAGTTTGCATCCAACAGGAGCTGTACAAGTACTGTGATCTGGATACCAGCAAGTCTAATTTAAGATGAACATGGACTGGATCACAAACAACTTAAGAGTCACATCCCAAGTCAACAAAGGGGTGTTGATGGCCCCTGTTACATATTAACCTTCCAGAAAGTAGAAGTTGATAAGGCCCAAGGCATTGAAGTGCTAAAATTTTTGGAGTTCAAAAGGAAGTTGCAAGGTAGGTTCATGATTTAGAGATACAAAGTGCACCTGTGTGAGAATCATTGAAAGGATAATCGTAGAAATGAAAAAAAAAAAAAAAACTTTGTTCACCGATACTAAAGAATAATGATATGTTCTCATCTCCTATGAAGAAACATTGTGATAATTCATACATGTGACTGCTTGAATTTGGCTTGTCATCTGATAAAAATACATACTGTCTAGGTTACAGTATATGTTCTCATCTCCTATGAAGAAACATTGTGATAATTCATACATGTGACTGCTTGAATTTGGCTTGTCATCTGATAAAAATGCATACTGTCTAGGTTACAGTGGTAACTACATTTATAGCATGAGAATAACTTCTAAATGCAACAGGAATGAAGAGGCCCTTGACGTCCAATTATGAGGTAAAATTTATGTTCAGATGGCCATATAAGCGTAGCAGACTTTAAACTAGCCGAACTGGATATACAATATTATATATTTAAATCAAACAAGTTCAGATAGTTATGTAAGCATCATGGCATATTGAACCGCAATATATGTCACAAAGAATCTATACTCATCAGATCATCTCACTGTAAGTCTTATATTATTTTATGCAATTGGCTACACCATGAAAGGGATCCTCAAGAGAATTAAAAATATATTTACAAAGATAGTTAGGCAGCTACCCAAATGTCAAAACCTCAAAATGAGGTACCAGTGCAAATATGATAACTGCTGCTCCTAGTAACCTTTGTCTGATTAACGATATATGCTTAGACTTCTGTCCTAATTTGAGATTGCAAACATGTCACTTGTAAAAGAAATTTAAAAGAAGCAAAATCTACTCCTTGAGAATTTTGTGGTCCGTAAAATATTGTCATTTTGGTACCTCTAATACTTGCAAGGGGTCAAGCAATACACCACGATTATGAAGAAGTCGAACTGCAGCTTTAAACATTGGCTCTTTCCCATCTTCTGGATTCAAATACATATCCAGTAACCTTGAGTAAAATGGACAAATAAAAAAGATAAATTCTGGAGTCAGTATGATATTTGAAAATAATTAAGAGCATGACAATAGGTAAATTAATAAAACTTACTCCATATAAGCATCATTTCTACCAATCTCTGCACAATATTGTTCAGCAGCTTCACTATTTTCCAGCTTTCTTAAGCAAGGCACAATCAGAAATGTTTCAGGTGAAGATAGAACAAGCAAGTGATCAATTATGTACAAGAATATAGAAATTCCGAGTCTATGTGTCTGATCTTAGTGGTCCATATGCGAACAGGAAAAGTTATTCAAACGATTCTTACATAGCCAGAATCTGTAGCACCATTGTCTCTTGTCCCATCTTCCTGTACAGGATTGCCTGCCATAAATAGCTAATAGTAAGTATGCACTGAATCACATAGTAGACAACTTTTGTGCAAGACATTCCCCCCGGAAGACTAATACATGCAAGTGAAATCAAATGTATTATAGACAATTTCAACAATAACTATTTGCACCTACCACCTAGTACCGATTTTTCTAATAAGAAAGCAGAACTAAAATTCAGAGAAGCTTATTAGCAAGCATGCTAAAGACACAGATGAAATAATCAACATGGATAGAAAAAATTTTAAAATTTAAGTATTGCTTGTTAAGCAAACTAGCGGAGAAGTATCTATGCTATATGCAACAAAGGAAAGAAAATGCATAATATGGTACTTCAGAACCAATCATGCAAACATTTAAGTACACAAGTCTTCTATAAGTATGTCTATGGAGTGATGGTATGTAAAAGCCAGTGATCTAAAAAGCGCTAGGTGTCAAAAGGCGTCAAGGTCCAAAAATGCTCAAAGGCGCTAGGCGCTCGCCTGAGCGAAACGAGGCGCTAAAATATAAAAATATATAATATAATTAATATAATTATTTAAATAAAAAATATGCTATGAAATTAAGAAAATCAGGTATAAAATCACAATATCATATTAATAAAAAGTCTCAAAAATTAAAACAATAAAATTTTACATCAAATCTATTGAGTTGCTCTGTACACTTGTCATTTATTCTGAAACCTAACAATAATTTTAAATAAATAAAAATTAATAGTATTAAAATCAAAATAATATATTATTAATCTAATAAATAAAAATATTATTATTAGTATACAGTTAGCAATATACTGTTAATATACTGTTAACAGTATAGTGAGAAGACCGAGGCTGCTGAGGCAACAACAACGGGAGTGGGAGCGGGAGCTGCGAGCGGCAGCGGGAGCGGCCAGTGATAGCGCGAGCGACGACAACAACGGCGAGAAGTCGGCGAGCAACGATTGTGGTAGCGACGAGTAGCGATAGTAGCGACGAGCAGCGATAGTGGCAGTGGCACCAAAGAGCAACGACAACGGAAAAGAAATCTCGGCAGCAAAATCGCGAGTGTTAGGGTTGGGGAAGTCGGGGAAATCGCGAGAGGGAGCCTAATATCGGTGATTTAGTTGGTTCGATTGAACCAACTAAAGCACTGGAGACCGAACCAGACGTAAAACACTGGTTTGGTCGCCTGGTTTAACTCGGGCGCTCGCCCGAAGCGCCCGGTGCCTGGGCTCGAGCGAGCGCCTAGCCTCTTTGAAGCGAGGTGCTAGGGCCTCGCCTCGCCTCGCCCAAGCGCCTATTGAAATCGCTGGTAAAAGCACAGTAACCATCATTCTAAAAGACAGCCGCTACGGTAGAACATACCTTCCCAAAGATTGACTGGCACAACCCATGTCACTAGTACTCATATCTCAGGTCACACTTACATAAAATTTAGCAATTTAGCAAAATAAATAAATAAATTAGCATTTTAGCTAAATTGGACACACTACCACTAAACAAAAACATGGCCACTAGACGTTCTTGCTTGACTTGCAGATAACCAATACAACACTACTTCAAGTAATAACTTTTCAGAGCAATAACATAATAATTCGTGAAGCTAGCATACCAATATTGAAAATGTCAAATATCCTCATGTGATTCTTAACTAAGGAAAAACTTCATTCATATTGCTCACAGAAGATAGTATCTAATTCCTAAAGCATAAGAAAAGCATAGAATAACACAGTTATTCAAGATGGAACCTTAAATATTCAATTAGATAACACCTCCAAATAAAAAAAGCAATTAAAAGTAAATGAACTTTTTCTAGCCATATAAACATTGAATTTGATATCAGCTCCAAAGAAAAAGCAGTTAAAAAGTAAATTAACCTTTTCCAGCCATAATTCTGAGTCTTCTATAACACCAAGTACTTCTTCTGGATCATACAAGTCTGAAGCCTGTAAAAATAACTGCAATCTATCCCTGACCGAATATCCATAGTTCTTTCCAAGTTCAGTGTTGGATATATTCGACTCCTCTTGGTTTCTAGCATCATAATTTTCATAATTGAGGCCAGTTTCAATTGTTTCAATTGCTGTTCTGGCTAAAGAAAGAGCATATAAAGTATGAAATTGGGTGTCATCGCAGTCTTGATCTTCAATCAACCATTGCAGATATCTACACAAAAGTTATCAATCTAAACAATAAGAAAATGAACAAATTGGGCAAATATATGACTGGTACACAATAGTTTTCAGATGAATGTACAAGATAAACATACTAACAATAGACCATGAAATGGGGTTGATCATCGTAGAAAAATCAAGGATATAAGATAGGCCAGATTACTTTAAGCAAAAGAAGACATGGTTTATTTCCAAGTTGTGATTAAATTTCAAATTTAGATTATTTTAGAAGTTCTACCATCTTCAACTTTCCAGCGAAAGTAGGTACTTGATTAGGTCAAATATTAATAAAGGACTATTTAAAAAAAGGCAAACATTTTTGAGATGGATGCCAGACCCCACATCATAGGCCAAGAGGACTGACAAGATTATCCTAAACCATAGACGAAACCATTTAGTTTATCAAAGCCTAAAGCCCACAAAGGGAAATATGGGAGAAATAGCAGGTGGTATATGAACCTATTCTGCAGTATGGTTAAGAAAATGGATAACTATAACCAAGCCATATGGTTCAGTACTAATCCTTCGTCAGACTAAAACCACCAAAACATACATACCGGTCTGACTGCTATTTGAAACCTTGGTTGGAGGCGTCTTGTCCCCATTGTTAGATCAAGGCAATATAACACGAAGAAGGTCAGGTTGCTTGGGTGGTGAAGGCAGCAAGCTCCTTTGGCTGCATGAGTTTAGAGGGAGAGGGGGGATGAAGGGACACCGTCAAAGAGACAAAGATATGCCACACTATTTTTAATCCAACTTTTCAAATACAAGCATTAATGCCTTCACTGTCACATCCATTTAAAGGCTCATACATAATTGAATATGTTCTGTGGGTCATTGGATCAAAACATTGATAAATATCCAATTCTGACTAGACTAAATCAGGTTAGATGTAACTAACTCATTGACAGCCCTACTCCATGTTATATATGTAGAGTACTAGAATCTATGATCTCATGTGTGGTTCACATAACAGATATTATGTGTCAGCATAGCAATTTATGTTCCTCTTACTAGCTACTTTCTAATGTTAGAACACACTGTCCATGATAATCATAATATATCACTTAAATTGCTAAGGGAATATAGATGTATCCCATAAATTCATCATTTGACTATCACCTATTATTAGTCAGTCATATAGATATAAATGCATATATCTTTGCTTGCACTATATTGTACATTATATTAAAGGCTTTAATATAAACCATAGATATGCCTGCATATGCATTCACATAGCATATAAGTGCTATTTGACCACTTGCACATGACAATTGCCTCTTAGAACATTGTCAATCCTTGCCGCTTTGACTAATTTTACCTAACTCCACAGGTTCAACAATTTGGGTGCCCCCAATGGAAAAAAAAAGATTCACCCCACAATCCAAATAGGTCAATGTAGGCCGACTCTGATCCTCAACCTGTCAGTAATCTCAAAATCCAGACCTGTAGCCTGAACCCAATCCTGGACATACAAGCCATGCTACATTTATTAAAATATTGATGTTGGCATCCTGATTAATGAAGAACAGCTACTAGGATGAGTTAGAATTAATTGGAAGTGAACTTCAAACAACTTGAAAAAAAGAACAACCAACGGACAATATTTAAAGTTTACTAACAGCTCCATACTAATAAACATTTACACTCAAGTATCATAATAAAAGCTCTTTATTTACTGTTTCAATTTAAACAAACCAGGAGCAGCCCAATCATACCTCTGATGGATCTCAACCTTTCTTGGATCAACAGATGAAAGAACTTTTTCTGCAGACATTGTCACTGGTTAGTGCACTAACATGATAGAATCATTGCTGCTCTTGGATCAATAAAGTTATCAAAACAACCAAAATTATATATATAGAGTTGAGCTAGAATTCTATGGAAGATCCTATCACCTCAAAACAATCACGGAGGCTCTAAATCAAGTTCCATTAAGCATGATCTCCATTAAATACATTTAGAAATTAAGTTCAAGTTCACATGAGAAAAAGCGATATCCACATGTTCATATTAAAATACTCTTTCTTTAAATGATTGATATGCATATGTTCATAGCAAAAGACTCTTCTATGCATGATTAAATCAGAAGCTTGGTCATAACAACAGAAACACATTGTCTCATCCAGAACCAGAAGTACAAAGTGCTATAAAATATAAATAACATAAGTATAATGCTCTAATTCTGCTAACTTCACTTCTTTTATTTCTAATAGATGTTAACAGACATGAACTTGTTTCCAAGATTACTAGTGGACATCCAAACAAAAACAGTTTATTTGTTGAAACATAGTAATTACCAGGAGAAAGCTGATTAGTCCTTTTCTCTGATGTTAAAACTTGAATTGCAAGATTCTGGTCAACATCTGCAATCTAAGATTAAAAAAAACCCGAATAACTTGTTAACAAAGAAACATTTAAGGTATAATAATCTAACTAGTAAATATGCACAATCTCTGATATAACAGACCCATTCAAGATGTTCCAGTACGAGATCTTGATCAGAAGATTCTTGGAGTAGCTTTGAAGCTTCATTAGCAGCACTTTGTTGACCAGAACTTAAATCTGTACAAGAATTTAGAGAACCACATTCATCGGAGCTTGCAGGGTTTTTCCATAAACCGGTCGAATAATTTTTGGCCAACATACGCCAGATAGTGAAAGCTTTTGAGCACATCCCTTTACTGGCATACAAGAATGCTAGTGTCCTTAAATGCCTTGAATCATCTAACAGTGTTTCCAATTCCTCCTGCAATGGTAAAAGCAGAAGCAAGGTCATCATTCAAACACCTCTCTGACAAAGTACCCAATCAGATTTTAGTCCATGGGTGAACCAGGTTACGCTGATTAATAACAAAGTCAAATAGTGCATGGTCTAGATGTCCATACTCAATTCTGTCTGTGCATCTAGATTCTGCACTCAGTTCCATTGCGTAGCTGACCTCAAGATATCTCTATAACTGTATTAAATTGAGCTGTCGAAAAAATACATACCACAATGCAGTAGTTCTGCGATGAAGCAAGTTTCTCCATGTCATCGACAAGATTGAGTGCTCTATAGAGGTACATCAGAAGAGTATCTACACCCTCCTTCACTGGAGGGTTTAAATCCCAATCCCGAGAAACACATAGATACCTAGATTATACAGAACATTATTTGCTTCAAGACATATTAAAACCTCAGGGTAGATCATGAGTAGACATCATATAAATGAAGATAAAGTGTGCATCAAGATTTGAAAACAATGGACTACCACTAGCATTCATTAAAAAATACCTGATGATATTTTTAATTGCTAACTCCAAGAGATCAGCTTTGCTGGGTGGATTTAAAAGAAACACCTCATCAGCAGCAGTGTCTACACCTGCTTTCTTTAAGAACATAGCTCTCTGGATAGCCATCAGTCCATCATCAATTACTTGCTCAAGAGGTACTGGAGGAGGATGCAGCCCCCAGTACCGGTTCCTTGGTACCTGGAACATGCAGGGACAAACATTTACCTCTGACAATGTGCACAATATATGAAATATATATTGAAGAAACAGACTAAGTGATATCTATGAGGGACCCAAAAAAAAATCTTATCAGTTGATGGATAAACTGCACCTTCCACACTGTGTTAGCAACAATGACAAAAAGGTGATAGAAGCATTTTAATAAAACATATGCAGCTTGGTCATTCAGGGGGAAAAAGCAACAATATTTGTCATGAGCAACAAAGCAACACAAGCCTATCACGGAATTATGTTTCTCATTACCACATACATTAATGTGAAAGTAGTGTTACCTGGAGTTTGGTGTTCAATCTGATGCTATCAATTAAAACTATTCAAGATTAGGAATTGATTAATTTTAACAATTTCAACAAAATCTTATGTCAGAGGCCCTATTCAAGTTACTGTCCAAATCAATCCCAACACAAGAACCATCCTTGCACACATTACCACATACATTAATGTAAAAGTAGTGTTACCTGGAGTTTTGTGTTCAATCTTATCAAACATGGTGGAAAAATGTAAAACATTGTATAACATATCAACTTCCAATAATATGGACAACTAAATGCTTTGTTGATTAGTTGGGTAAAGAAATGTCCCGAGTCCCGACTATTCAAGATAAAAATGGTTATATACTTTCTTGATATCAATTAAAACTATTCAAGATTAGGAATTGATTAATTTTAACAATTTCAACAAAAGCTTATGTCAAAGGCCCGATTCAAGTTATTGTCCAAATCAATCCCAACACAAGAACCATCCTTACAAGAAGAGCATATCAAGTATTTTAGAAGGGCATAAATTATTTTTCCAAACAATTCTGGGTGATATTTGGACACCAAAATATTAGTCTCTAAGTACAACTTTACTAGCTATCAAAATGCTTTGGTTAAATTTTCTATTATATATTTTAAATACAATTAACAATGTAGACCATTTAGGTTATTGAGATTTCATGTGCACCAATCTACTAAAAGTTACATTTTCGTTGGCACATAAATATTATATATAAATGACAGTGCAGAAAATGCTTTACCCCTAAAAGAGGTGAGACTAAATATTAAACACTCAATAACCAGATGTCAGATAATTGACCTTAACATGCATGAAGACTCACCCTATAAGTGTCAAATATCATCTTTCTAATTTTTCATATGCTAGCACCTCCATTTCACCTACTTGCCACCTTGGCGAATTTGCAAAACTATGTCAAAGAAAAAACTATATATGCTATTAGACCTAAGGTAATTCTCCAAAAATCATTAGCCTAAAATTCACTGGAGATTTACAATAATCAGCACATTAGTATTCTGTTACAACTTGCAGCAGCTTCTGGAACCAAGAAAAGTTTCAATCCAAAGACTTGTTTAGACTCGGCCATAAAATGAAGAATAAACTTCTTTTCACAAGAAAAGCAAGTATGGCTGTGCTTCCAAATAAAAAGAAAAACAGTACAAAGTAGACTTAAACACCATATTTCTGTTCCCTTCCAAAGGAAACACAACTATAATAGAAATTAAAGAAAAGGAGCGGGAAAGGTCAGGGGAAGCTATAGACTATTCATTTAATTGCAGTACAGAAAAATAATATCCATTAATAGATTGAACCATATTAATGTCTTTGAAGAAGTTTGATAGAAGATATAAGTGATTATGGAAAAATAAACAAAATAAAAATACCAGATGCGACCAGCGATTTGGGTCCCGCATAATGAATGGGAATATCTCAGGTGGCTGCATGGTCTCTGAGAGCAAGAAATGATTGATTGCCTCTTCAAAATGCAAATCAAAAAGCAACAAGAAGCCTACTTGTGCATGCACAAAGGAAAGCAGTTCCTTTGTCATTTCTTCTTCAGACTCAAACTCCTCCAACAAACAGACAGCTTCTTTAAGTTTCTTCTTTCTCAATAAATGCTTAATCTGTTCTTCGGCAGGCAATCTATGAAAGCAAATGGCCTGAGAAAAGAGAATAAAATGTTGCCATCACATGACCTAGAGATTTCAGACAATTCATCAGAAAGAAAAACACAGTACTTTATCCAAGCAACTCGATATTTATCATGCCTAGTATTCTTTATAAATAATTTCAAATGAACAGAAGACCTGTTTGGGGGTGGAGTTAGTTGATGCTTAATTAAGCAAACAGCACTGATAAGGACTACAGCATGCCCAATTCAGCACAATTAGAAGCTCAATATCATGAAGACAAATTTTATTGAGATGTAAAGACAAAAAGCAACAAGGGAAATTCATTTGAAAAAAAAATTAAAGTTTGAATTATAAAGAGAGGCCCCACATCACCATTATCTCCACATAGTGTAAGAATCTGAAATTTAACAAGTTCCTTTCATTAATTTGTTTGCCACAAAATATCGTTGTCGAATAGGTCCAATACAACAAGTCAATAAAGCCCATTAGGATCTAAGCTAAGATATATAGTTTGACAATTTCTCTAAAATACTGTGATCTTATTGAAAGAACAGTATCTGTTTGTGAAGATCCCAAGTAGCCAAGAGTAGTTTTCATGAAGTACTTTGGACCTTGGTCAATACTGTCATTCTTTTGGTTCTTTCATCAACTAGTCATTCTCTTCTACATGCTTCAGTGTATTTCATCTTGTTTATAAGAACACATTTACTAAACATTTTAAGCTATCCTTCTTTTATTGAATTCCAACAGTAGCTAAACAAAATGCATTGGAATTTGAAGTTTTGAACCTATAAATTTGTTGAGATCTAAAAACAATCTGATGCAACATGAATTCAATATCTAAATTGTAGCATCTATCTTTACAGGCAAGAAGAAGCAGACCCCCGAAAATATATATACATATATAGACACACCACTCCCACAAAACAAAAGGGAACTTTTTGCTGTTCTACCATAAGGATCCCCCAGGAAGCACAAAGGAAAGATAACCCACCCCCCAAAATATTGAAACCTATTATCCAATCAATAGAAAATAACTAATAAATTTTCTTATGATAAGACAATTTTGTCACATGCTACATGAAATTGTGTATTCATAGGTCATCAGATATTCACAGATTTTTATATCACTGTTCACCAATTGACTTTGTAAACAAAACCTCGTGGCGGTTTATGACTGTTTGCTCATTTCATTTTACAAAATCATGGGACGTGATAGCCTACAATCTGGAGAGTCAACTTGGTTTATAAAGCTGGTGAACATCCAGTAAGATGATTTCAAATTTTTAACATCACATGCAGAAAAAACCCTCCTTGTTTAAGGTATTTTAATTGTATCTTCTCACATCTGAGCTCAACATTTATGCCACTGTCAAATCTTCTTAACAGCAGAAGGAATTTTCTGGTTCCACACTTGGATAGTGCTGGAGAACTATATTAAGTTTTTCCCTTCCTTAGCCTACTTTTTCTTTATATTGAGTTATAAATATAGTATAGATGTGCCTCTCCTGTTTTCAGATTTTTTTCACAGCAGGAAAAGTAACCTTACTCTATTTTAAATTATTAGAGAACTTTATATGAAAAAGAAAACAAATAATTTGTTTAACAAAAAATCTATATCATCTTATTTTGTTATTTTCTCTATCTACAGTCTTTTTATCTTAATTTTCTTTTGTACCCTATATCTGTAGCCACTAACATCTACTATTTCAACAAGAATCTAATACAGATGCTGGAAGGGAATAATATTAACTCTAGCTAATTCTCATTTTTCCTTTCTTGAATAATGTTTGGAAAAGAACAATGAAGTGTCCACCAATACAGAGCTACATTGGGAGATTTTGTAGGTCTGGACAACCACTATCCAAGATAAGCACAAGTATGGGAAGAAACAAAATTAAAAGTATATACAGGAAATACGCCCAACAATAAAACAAGAAACTATTATAAGAAAGTATCATCCTTTATCCCTGTTGCAAAAAATCTCATGGCATCAAATAGAAACTTCAATATAAATATATGATTATGAAACTTACCTACCTTATAAGGTGTTGCAACCACAATAACCTCTCCTTTACCCTGATCATCACTTGCCACAATGCACTGACCAATGCCTCCCTTTGCATATGATACTGACTGCACACAATTACCACTCTTCCGTCTGAATAAATCCATCCTACCATGCTTTGCAACAATCACATAGGAAGGCATCTCCGTGATGGAGTCCGGTGCATATTGAAAGATCAAACTCCCGCCAACAGGCTGCCCAGAGGCATTGACAACCACACCAACATTGTCAACCAACAGCAGAACCTCCTTACTTCCCCATAAAGATTTCAGCCGAGGTGGCCCCGAAGATTCTGGAAGCATAAACAGTGGGGTGCTTATCCCATTAGTAGTAGAGAATAGTGTGTAACCATCTGAAGTTCCAAGAACAATGGAATTCCCCAACCATGCCATTGCACTGACGCCATCAATGTCCTGAATCTCCTTAAGATGTACTGAAACACCACGGCTGTCAGAATCTACATCAATGCTTCCAGGCACGAGGAGCTCCATCAGAACCAATTTTCTCGCTCCTGCAGCCGCAATAAAGCAGCTATTGCCTCCCCTCTGAGACTCGGTAATCCTGGGACCTATTCCGTTCGCCCTGATACTCCCTCCCAATTTCTGAAAAAACTTCTGACTTGGGCTCAAGATCTCGGCTTTGGACACCCCATCTCCCAAGGGTCCCAAACTCATCGCCTCGGAACATGGAATCCTCCTTGCAATCGCCGTCACATCCTTGAGAAAACTCAATTTCCGCGCAGGCTGCAACAAGTGCAAATCCAGCAAGAACACGGACCCATCTGAGAGCACGAGGACCCTCCCGATCTCAGAGAGAACGTGAATCGATTCGATCTGACGAACGCCGATCGTCGCCGATCGTAGAAATTCCGCAGCACCTTTGGCGGAACCAACGCTGGTTCCATACGACGGGGCTCCCCGGGTCGAAGGGGGATCCAAGGAGGCCAAGATGATGTTTCCGCCGCCGGTGCCGATGTAGACAAGGGTTTTGGAATCAGAGGCGGCGAAGACGCAGAGGGACCGGATCGCGACGGGAGCCGCCGAGGTTAGCCCGGCGGACTTGGCGGGATCGAACTCGGCGAAGGCCTCGAGGACCAACCGATCCTTGGCTCGGAGGGGCTCCATCGGGAGGGGCAAAAGCTAGGATTTGGAGGGGACCGTCATCGGAATGGCGAATTAGGTTTGCAAATATCAGATCACTGCGGGAGTGGGGAGATAGATGAGATTTTTAGGGTTTCGCTTCGTCGTCTTCCTCGAGTAGAAGACCGGTAGGTTTGTTTCTCAACGACTAACACAGACGAAGAATTGGACTTTTTTTTCCTTTTACCAAATGACTTCTCTTACCGACTCCACCGTTATGATGGAGCTCATGTGGGGCCCTACATATCATTCAATACTAAGACTGGTGCTCTTCTGGCGTTTCTGAAGAGGGGAAGCAAGACAACTGCCACCGGATCAGGTTGGGTCCGAGTAGCCATCTACTACTGATCCGAATACGGGTGACGGCGACGAAATAGGTAAGAAGAGTTAGGATCCGAGCCAGAGCCTGACGTGCTCTCGGGGTAATTTGGCTCCGACTTCTACTCGGATCCGGATCTCGAGAAGCGGGTAAGGAAAGGCAACTACCCGTTCCATGTTTAATCATATTTCAATAATTAGTTAAATAAATCTAAATCATTAGTTCAAAATATTTAAACTCAAATTGATAATAATAAATAGATCTATAAAATATTTTATAAATTCACTTTTCATGTGGCAATTAAGTATTTATCTTTCAGTCTCCATGTTTTTGTTCACCATCTTTTTTTTTTTTGGCTCTCCATCTTTATTTATTATCAAAATATTTAAATCATTCTGTCCCTCGATTTGTCAGTGGTCACACCTATCATCCTCTTTATTATAATTTTATTAAATTATTGCTATAATATTCTCAATATATATTATGTGCTTTTTATTATATTATATAATTATATTAAAAAATATTATCCGAGGAAGTGTTCCACCAAATTAATTATTTAAGATTTGATGAGATCCGTATTCAATCCAATAATCATCCCTAAACATCTATCATGTCTTCATATATTTTTTTATGAATTTTTATTTTTTTTCCCAAGAAAATTTACTTTTTCAGCTTTTTTTTAAAGGATGTATCCATTTTTATAATTTTTTTTAAAAAAAAATCATCTATTTGTTATCATTATTGGAATATCCCTTGACAAGATAACTCAAATGTATTGTATCCTATAGAATAAATAATCTACGAGGTGAACCAATTATTATTGCGCTATGGATCGATCCAATCGCCTATAAATATTGTAATTGAAATAAATGAAAAAAAATAAGATTTTAAAATGTATATCATTATAAGTTTAGGAATAAAAATAATAAAATGTGGTGACTTCTATATCATTATATATAAGCATATTTTCTAAAATAATGTAAACATATTCAAAATTATTATAGCTAACAATTAAACTGATTCATTCCATGGAGTCCGTATGATGTAACAGTTGTCTTATCATAAGAGGATTTTAGAGATTATGATAAATATAAAGCATCCCCTAAAAATATATGAAAAATGGAGTCACTCATGAAAAATATTATAGGATGATTTTCATAGAAAATATTTATATTTTAAAATGTCCTATCTGTTTTAAATTATTATAGTATTTTCATCTGATTTGTTTGTAGTGTTTCTTAATAATATTTACGATATTTTGATTGAGGCACTAAAATCACCGTAAATGTCATTGAAAAGTAATATAAGTGTTTTTTCAATTATCATTGCTCGCAGATTATTACTATATTATATTTTCACATTTATAATTACTGTAGCTGAGATTAAGAGTCATTTAAATTTTCTACAGTGTTTTTAAGTAGATTTTATAATATTTTTTATTTATGTGACCAAAATAGCATAGCAAACTTATTTTTTATTTCTATTTTGATGATATTATTAAATATCTATTTGAATATGATGTATCAAATGGTTATTAATATATTTTAGTTTTATTTATCTCATCTATAGTGTCTTTAAATAAATTTTATAATATTTTTATTGTGATGATCAGAATATTATAATATGATAAAAATAATATAATAAACCAAAAACAGTGGAAAAAATTTTAAGCGACGATTTGATATTTTTAAATTAAAGATATTATTTGAAAAAAAAAATAAAAGAGGGATACCGATTATAAAATATTTAAAATACAAATATTTTCTGAAAAATCGTCCAAAATTACATACAGACAGGTTGAAACGATATTTCATACCCGACAGACTCCTGGACCACGACCCACTTTCTTACTACAGGAGACAATAGGTGGGCTCGAAAGGCGGTCCCACCGGCCCCAATGTATCATTTTCGCAATCACGACTCGGGCAGATGGTTCGCGGTCATGTCCTCATCCAAGAATGAATTATCACGTCGTGCCTGCAATGAATCTATTTCTCCAGCCAAAAAGGTCGGAAACAGCGGCAGCAGAGGAGTCCGACGAGAAATAGGAAGAAAAGCATGGCGGCAGCGGAGCTGAGCAACAAGCGGGTCATCTTCAAGGACTATGTGACCGGCTACCCCAAAGAGGAGGACATGATCTTGACCTCCGCCACCGTGCCGTCGAAGGTCCCCCAGGGCTCCACCGCCGTTCTCCTCAAGAACCTCTACCTCTCCTGCGACCCTTACATGCGCGGCCGCATGTCCAAGCCCATCAACCACAGCTACACCGATGCCTTCACGCCTGGCTCTGTAAGATCAGATCAATCCCGCTACGTCGCCTCCTTCCTCTCTTCTTCCCCTTCCATTTCTTTGTATTGACTTAGAATTATAAGTAATTTTCTAATTCAAGTTTGGTTTTTGTTTAATCAGTTCTCCCCTTTTTATATATATATATATATATTAGTTATTTTTTGGCATTTGCTTGTTTCCTCCTGCATTCTTTTGAGATGGTTTTTGTTACATGTTCTTTTCTCCGACAGATTTTAGACAATAAGTGCTTGAAAGCTGGTATAGCGTTGCCAGAACAACTCATGGTATCCGTTGGTTTTGTTAAACCTTTTTGAAATGGCATGCTGTGACGTGAATGCATTGGAAAAATAAGGTAGGAAAAGAAGAAATATGATTAGCATGTTGTGTCATGGAATTGCCTACCATAAAAAAGAATCAAGTCTTGGGTGATGGGCACATGTGGGTGGGTTGTCTTTGTTATAATTATTGTTCAGGCAAGATGGACCAGGTTTCTTTGTAAGATATATGATGTACCAGTTTCCTCACATGGACCAGCTGTAGTTAGAAGGACTCGGAAAATATATTGGTAAAGAAAAATATTGGAGCACATGGAACATGAGGCTGGTCTGTCAGTTTCTTTATGTTTTGAGATTGGGTCGCTTTTAAATCATTTACAATCTTCTTGCGGTTGATTATTGTATCTATCTCAAAGAATATCTTCAAAATAATAAAAGAAATCTAGAGGCTTCATCTAAGGGTTTGATGTGGACTTAGGGTCATCATGCAGAAGACTCTCTTAGGAGGTTGAGGTAGGGACGTTTCAGGGGGCAACTACAGGAATGAGAAGGAAAATAAGTGCTTCTGGCTTGTGGAAACTAGGGAACATAGAAGGATTAGCAGTATATCTGCTATTTTCGCAGATGAACTTTGATTGTTATGGCGATAATAATCAACCCTGGAGATTTGTGTAATCCAGAGTTCAAACCTTGTTTTCCTTTTCAGGTTTAGTTGGACAAGATAGGCTATCATTTTTTTGCAACCTGTGTTTTAGTAAGCCAACAAAAAGATGATGTGGAGATGCATAAGCAATCAGAAAATTATACTAGGTGATTGCAAACAGACTAGTTATGTCGTCTCCAAGTAATATGAACCTAGGTGGTTTGCATTATGCACACCAGAGTCCTACTTTTATAAAGTATAATTCACATGATTTCATATTCATGTGCCCCATATTTAAGCTCAAATTGGAAAAAAAAAATTGTTTGGATGTTGTTTTTCACAACTTGCAAGAGGGAGTCTAAATTTGTGTAAATGCTACTTGAAATGTAACAAATGGTTATGCATTTTGGGCCGATTTGCTGTTTCCCAGGACCTGAGTAAAATAAAAATGTTTTGGTGTTAGTTATGGAAATTAGGATAAATATAGCTCCTTAAACAAATTCTGAATTTGTCTTAAAATTTTCAACAATGAGACGTGACATACTTTATGCGTGTAGTTCTCTCCATGGTTTGCCGTACCGAACAGTACCGCCCGGTACGGGCGGTACGTACCGGTCCGACAGACTTTCGGTACGCGGACCGCCTCTTACCGTTCCGGTACTGTAGCAGTACTGTAGCACTGTAGCAGTGCTACAGTGCTCGGCACACCCTGGTGTACCGCTCGGTACACCTCGGTATACCGGTCAGTACACCTGTACCGTACCGTACCGAGCGCGGGTCGAAACGCCGGTACGGTACGGTACGGCGAACCTTGGTTCTCTCACAAATAATTGCCGGATATGGCTTGGCTTGCCATGGCAGTTAACCCATGTAGTTATTGAATATTTCATTTTTCATATTACCTCTTTGCCTACATGACATTTTTTATATTCTTAGACAAAAACATCATTCCTCAGAACATCATGGGTTACCTGATCCTTATCTTACCAATTACTGTAATGCTTCCACTTATATATCAAGAGAGTGTTTGGCAAGTGGTCAAAATGGGGTCTTCAAATTTTTTATCTCCTTCCAAAAGTAATCTTTTTACCATTCCTCCAATTTGCCGAATGTGCATGCATATTTATTAGTTTGCCTTTACACCATATTTGCTGGACTGACCATAATTTGGAATATGATTGGACCATTGATATGATTATGTTTGAACTTTGAATTACTTAGGTAGTGGACAAGAGAAAATGTCTCTTCTGAGACATCCCATAAAATGGACAAGAGAATTTCCATGTTCAAGTCGTCAAGCTAAAAAACATTCAGCATGATAACTTTTGCCTACTTATTGCATGTCTTATAAAGATAATAGAATGAATTTTAAATTTTAACATACTGAATAAGGTGATGAGAAATTGAGTTATTAATTCTCATAATGAACTTACCTGTTTTGTGCCTTCTGTGCTATTATGCTATACCATAATTTATGCCATGCTGCCTTTGAAAAGTGCTGTTGCATTGTTCTTTTAAGTTTTTTATTTATATTATCTTATTTGGTTATTCTTTTTGTAAAGAGGAGGTGATTGGAAGGGCATCATTTTCATTTTATCAGAAATAAGTCAGAACTATATCTTCCAGCTAAAGTGGGTGAAATTGTGAATAGACCTTTTATCTGTTCACTATTATCTTCTATGAAACTTAAAAT